CATTTCAATAATAATGATGATAATAGTAACAATAGCAACTAGTATTTTATATGCTGTGTGCCAGAAATTGTCCTAAGTTCTACTTGGGTTACTGAACTATTTTTCTTAAGTTAGGTTTATTGAAATGTAATTTACAGTCAAAGTCACCCCTTTAAGTTATATAATTCTATGAATTCTGACAAACACATTCAGTCAGGAAATCATCACCATGGTCAAAATAATTCCATCACCCCATAAAATTCTATCATGCTACTTTGCGGTCAATCTTTTCTCCATATCCAGCGTTTAGCAACCATTTTCTGTCCACATGGTTTTGCCTTTTCCAAAATTTCATGTAAACAGAATCATATTTTTTGTGGCCATTCATAGATTCTATCAATTAGCATGATACATTTGCAATTCATCAGTCCTGCTGCACTGTTTTTGGTATTCTATTATAAACCACTATTTGTATACCCTTTCCCAGCTGACAAACATTTGGATTTAGTTCTGGGTGGTTATGAAACAAAATAGTTAAACATCTGTGGATAAGTATTTATGCAAACATATGTTTTCATTTCTTTTTCAGATCTACCTAGAAGGGGACTTCTGGGCTGTGTGGTAAATGGATGTTTAACTTTGTAGGAGAGTACCAAACTATTTCCCAAAGTAGCTGTATCATTTAATGTTACTGCCAGCATTGTGTAAGAGTTGTAACTGGTCCATATCCTCGCCACAACTTGATACCCATAGTTTGACTTTAAAGCCATTCAAAAGGATGTTTAATGCAACTTCATTTGTGTTTTTAAGCATGTTTCCCTAATAAACAATGATATTAAGTACAGATATATGTGATGTTGATAAAACTGTTTTTCTAATATTTTGTCCATTTGTAGAATATTTTGTAATAATCATGAATATTTTCATAAATTCTTGATACCAGTTGTTTATTACCTATGTTTAGAAATATTTTCTCCCAGTCTTTGGCTTGTGCTTTGATTTTCCTTTCAAAGAGCAGAATTTTTTGATTTTTATTTTGTTTTCAGATGCCACTGTGTATAATTTTTTTTAAAGTAGACTCCACACCCAGCAAGAAACCCAACACAGAGCATGAACTCATAACCCCGAGATTGAGAGTTGAGCTGAGATCAAGAGTCAGATGTTTAACTTACTGAGCTACCCACACACACCTATAATTTTTCTTTTATAATTCATGTTAATGCCAAATTTAGGCCTAATCCAAGATTGAGTGCATATATGTGTTAGTCTGTCTCTCTGTGTATGTGTACATGTTTTAAGAAGTTCCCTTGTAGATGTTTTATAATTTCTGTATATGGCACAAGGTGTGGTTCAAGATTTATTTTTGCATAGATACACACAATTTTTGCCATACCATCTAAGAAATTATATTAACTTATTACTTCTACATCATTTTAGATTTTATATTCCTAAAATACAACAGTTTTAGTTAAAACAGAGGTAAAACTAACATGAAAACTACATTGAATTGATTTATTAAAACTGCTTTTAGAATAAAACTATTTCCTAATTCACTATTTATCTATTGAATATAAGGTAAATACTTGACTGTGCAGATCAACCACAACTTTTCAACCACCTATGCTCTTGAGAAATTTTTTCCTTAAAATGTGACAAATAACTGATGAATAGATAACAGTCAATTTCAAAATAACATTTCAAAAAATCTATACTTAATACATTTTAAGAAACCATCAAAATGATTAAAATTAGGACTGGTTCTATAGCATCTTTGTTACTATATTCTTACTTTGGAAAGAAAAGGGAAAATTGTTCTGCTTCTCATTGGTAATTTCTAGGCAATAATCATGAAAAATAGATTCTGAAAATGTTCATCCTTAGGGACTGAAAAGTATTTTTGAAGTGGTATGTGTGGATATATATGTTTGTGTTTGTGTTTTCTATTTTCAATAAGCAAAAAATTATTATCTTCATAATTGGAGATATTTTCCAAATAATATTGCTAAACATTCTTTTGTTTTACATATTCCAAGAAGTCCATTTTTAAAGATCAAATCTAGTATAAAGGTATGATACATAAATGCACATGTGTTTCTTACTTCTTTATCAAACTTCCTCTCAGTTTATTCTGCTACTGTCTAGCTCATGCTTTATTATTAGACTAAATTTTCAGCAAGTCATTATGTTTGTTTTTATATTTTATTACCAGTGGCTTTAAGAGTAATGTCACCATTTTATTAAAATGTGTATATTGTTGCATGTACTGTTTAAGAGCTCGACACTTTTCTTATCTCCTTAAGCCAAATCTATTGAAATTGCTTAGTAAGATGATATTCAAGGAATAGTAGAATTTTTAGTACTAGCACAACCTATGTTTTCATATCTGAAGAGAACTTGGCTTCTTCTAAAGTAACTGGACAGATGAAATTATAAAATCATGTCACTGAAGATGTATACGAAATTCTTCCTTAATTTCCAAACTCATATTAAGACCCTAGATATATATAAGGGAAGGAAGAAGAAATGTGTGGGAAATATCAGAAAGGGAGACAGAACATAAAGACTCCTAACTCTGGGAAATGAACTAGGGGTGGTGGAAGGGGAGGAGGGGGGTGGGAGAGAATGGGTGATGGGCACTGAGGGGGGCACTTGACGGGATGAGCACTGGGTGTTATTCTGTATGTTGGTAAATTGGACACCAATAAAAAATAAATTTATTTTAAAAAAAGACCCTAGATAGGCACAGAGATATAAATAATCTCCATTTCCCATTTTTATTTGTGTCTTTAGTATTTCTGCATTTATAGGCACTAAAGTATAGTGACTCTGACAAGATAGATTAATTCCTATCATGTATAACAGTTCACAGATAAGCAGGTGGTTTGTAAATCAAGAATACTAATCAAAGTCCTTAAAGTGCAGAAAGGGAGACAAAATAATGCAAAACAAAACCTTGACCTCAAGTACTATTTCCAACAAACATATTAAATGATCAAAATCAAAAACACTGTACGTTAAGAAGACCATCCCATTGTTCTATCGGGTGATTGTTTCTGGCATATCATATAATGCAGTATGTGATAAGATCAATTAATTCCAAGGTTGTATTTCAGCTCTCTTATCTCAATTGTGCAAAATGGATCTCTTTATACAATGAGAGTCCATGCAGAATCCTGTGTTGATGGGGCAAACATTTTGTAAGTCTTTTGGTTGTGTATCTGGCTGAGGTTCTACAGTCAGGAAGGGGAGGCCAACACCTAGAATGTATGTCAGTTATAGTCAAGATGAATCATGTCCCTTCCATATTCAAAGAGGTCTAAAGATAGCAACTTGCCATGAAATGTCTGGCCAGTTACCTTGAAGTATAGTGCCATCTCAAGGATTAATGGCTGTTCCCTGTAGTTAGAAGATTGGACATTTGACTAGGAAGGTAGCTAGATAAGCCTTATTTGAGTGAGATTCCATGATGTTGAGCCCATGAATCACTCCATCTCTGCCACTACAGCTATTCTGTTCTTAAGTTTATTCTGTTCCAAAGGGATGGCTCAGTGTAGTTACTGGGTGATGTCAATGTCAATCATTGTCAATGATCAATGGCCAGTGACAACAAGCCTCCCACACAGGCTTATTGTTTAAAGCCTCTCTTTTAGTAAATACTCTCTGATGGGAATTAAAATGTCATGCAAAGGCCTATATTTATGCACATACCTCTGCTCCCAGCCACTTTGTCCCAGATTTTCCCAACTTTTTCCTTCAAGTCTTCTATCAAACTAACCAAGCCATTAGCTATTGCCTATGTATCTGTATACATGCTTATCATGAACGTTTTCTATTTCCATAAAAAATGGTTGACAAGGTACACCATCAAAAGATCTGACTATTGGGTGAATTTACAATCACCACTGTCTTTCTGGGCCATCTCTGAGTGGGGTTGTTGTAAAACAATAGTCTATTTTAAGCTTGAACTTACTTAGTAACCTGAGGACTCTGGAAAGCAAGCTCATCCTTTTACTTCTGTTAGATGGTCCATAAGAGGTATCTTCCATGGCCATAAGTATGAGCCAAAGGAGAGATGCTGGGTCAATGATAAAGAATGGCATGGTGGTTTGGGCCACATATTGTGTAGCTTATTTTTACTTTCTGTGATTGATTCCAAACATACTGCTTCCTTTTTAAAATGCACTGCTTCTAGGTCTTCCTGATTTTGTGGCTTTATAACAGATACTCAGCACAAGATGGGCAGTTGTGGTCACATAGACACTTGATGGCCCACAGTCAGGTGCTTGGTCTCTACCAGAATCCAGTTATATATTGGGAGCTGCTTTTTGAGTCTGCAGATTCAGATGACGTGATTTTGATCTGTATCCAGGGTTGTTCGTTGTAATTCTAAGACTACCACTCCCCAAACTGCCCACTAAAGATTCCTCTAATATATAAAGTCTCCTATATATGACTTAATTGTCAGAACTGCTTCTGTCACAACCTGGACTTCATGGTGATCCATTTCCTTCTCTGGGCCCTCTTCAAAGCTGGAAGTTTTGCATGCCACTCAGCAACTAGATTGGAATTATCTTCCTATGTGTAGGATATGTTTCTTTCAAATACCAAAGAGGCTTACCAGGTACTGTGTTTTCTTTTTAATTGTGAGAGATTAAAAATGTAGTAATCCATTATTTTGATGAGTATATCCCAGTATACCCCACATCACTAGTCCCTTAAATCTTCACTGACGTGGTGATATCCTTTATTATTGTACTTCTATTTTCTACTCTCCAGAGTATGAGCATCTTGAAAATCAAGGCTTTCAATAAACTTCCCACTTCTTGCTTATCTAATCTGATTCCTATGATGTCACCAATATAGTGGATCAATGTGATGTTCTGTGGAATATGCTGACAGTATAAGTATTTCAGGTTCAGTTATGATACATGATGGGATTATAAACTAAGTCCTAGAAGAAAAATATATATTGCAGCCCATCGCATATGAATATAATTGTATATTATTCTATTTCTTTATAGGATTCAACTATACTATACTTCATGGATGTGATATATCTGGGACCATGTGGATCTGTTCTGGCAAAGAAAATATATCCAGCAGAGCAGCTGCAATAGAGACTGTTACCACCTTGAATTTCCAATAGTCTACTCACTTGCAAGGAGGTTTCCAGATTTTATGGAGGACATTTTGACAATACAGATATGTTGAAAAAATTTTGAATAATATTTTTCTTCCTATGATGTAATATATTTTTTTAAAAATTTCTTGGCCAGACAGGTACTGTAGGGCAATTTTACAGGTTTTCACTTGAGTGTCCTCACTATGCTAGGTCTTATCCTAGGGGAAAGGAGTATTGTAGTTTTGCTAACTATCAACATGATCATTTCCATTATACAATTCGGGACCAAAGAAACTACCCTCGGTGAGTCCATTCACTAATGGATCCACTGTGAGTCACAACTGGACCTAGACTTTATTATTCCTCTTGTATATGGGGAATGGAATAGAGTAACTGTGAAAAATCCTCTAGACCAAGGGTTGGCAGACTTTTTCTTAAAAGGCCAGATAGCTAATATCTTGGGAGTTGAGCTTACCTTCAACTACTCATCAACTCTGCTGTTGTAGCACAAAAATGGCCATAGATAAAATGACTATGGCGGTGATCCCATCGCAAGGGGTTTAGCTAGACTTTAACAGGAAGAATGTGACCTTTCTGCAGAATTCTATTTTGCCTAATCTGGAGATTCACGATTTTCAAGGCCTTGCCCTCATATCCCCATACCAAGTTGCAGAATTTTACTTTTCTGGAATAAGGACACTGACAGGGCTTCACAGATTTGCTGATCTTGAGAATTCAACCTTCACTAGAGCTCCGCTTACATTATAATTTTATAATCGAGTTATGGGTCTGATACTCAGCTTTTTCAGTCTTTTGGCAACAGGAGATGAGACTTTTTCTGTGCTGCTGGGATGCCCTCTGACTTTCATACCGAGCCTGCATTTGATAATTAATCACCTTCAGTCTTTCACAGCGGTTTTTCTAAAATGTTGCGAGCCCCTAGCAAAAGCCAGATTCCAGATCCCTGCAATTATTACTTCATATCATCTCTCAAATGTCTGAGGTCTTGCACTCACCAGTGCATTCATTCCCTTCTGCCAAGGATTTTAGCAGCTGCAGCACCTTTGCCTTCCAGGGGCTACCTACATTCCACCTACAAGCCATGTGGCCAATGACATAGCTATAAAATTCCCACTTAAAGTCTGTTTTCTCAGCCCACTTTTGGTACCAAAGCTTGTCTTTCTCATATTCCAAGAACACAGTGCAGAGATAGGGATTCTTGTGCCCCTGTGCATGCTGTTAGGAACTATACCCAGAAGGAAGTAGAGAGAATGGGATTAGGAATAGTGGACTAGTAATAGAGCAGGAGCCTCAGCAGTCCCTGTAGAGCTTCAGGCCTTGGGATGACCCTTCATAGATGCTCTTAATTGAGGCAAAGGACCAGCCCTTCATACCCCTGCATTGACTAGTTCATGCAGGGATGAAGGAAGAACAGAAAAAGGCAGCTCTGCTTGGCTGAGGACAATTCCTGGAGAAGGCCTCAATTTTGGGTTGTTGGCACACAGAGCTCTAGGCATATGGAGAGTAAGCATCTCACTTTAAAAAGGGGGAAATAAGTGAGCCATGCCACAGCATCAAATACCACATTGTTTGCTGTGCCTCTTGCTTCCTGCCAAAACCGAACACTGACACACAGAACAAACTTGTCGGGCCCTAAAGGAGAGCTGGGAACATAAGCCGATGTTTGAAAATCAACACCCAAAAATCTTGCCTCTTTGCTTCTTGCTCTGCACCCTTTCCTTCTTTCCTTGCTTAACCTATTTTAGAAGTTCTTGTTCTTCATATAACCGGTTCCAAATGTTTGCTCTCCTTAGTTTACAGTTCCTCTGTGCCCCCAAGACTATGGCTTGCAGTGTCTTATGACCTTGTGATCCCATTTTGTGCTTTTAAAAAATGGCTTTGTTGTTGTTGTTGTTACCAGGCCTCTCAGTTGGCAAATGCAAACACTAGTCATGTCCCTTTCCTTAAATTAGATAGGAATTTGACTAATTCCAGATTTTTGAATACACTTTAGAGTATTTGGACTTTGCTTAGAAAAATATTAGTTAATGTATATAACAGATATTTGAGTACTTACTTTGCATTAGACACTGTATTGGTCCTCAGTTATCTTTGTAGCTATAGGAATAAAGTAGCTATATTCAATTTACATTGATTCTCAGAAGTATATCCCATAACAGTTCTGGGCCTGCATCCCAAAAGAGCCAGAAGACTATGAGTAGATATATTTTGCAACTCTCAGGGGCATTTTCTTAAGAATCAGTTATCTGTTGATATAATATTATAGGGTCCACAATAAAACTCACGCAAAGCATTGTTGCTCATGAATTTTGGGTCAACTGGGAATTTCTGGTCTTAGCTGTTCTTATGCACCTGAATTTAGCCATGAGTTAGGGAAGCAGCTCTGCTAGTCTTAGCAGTATTATGTCCTGTGCTCAGAGGTTGGCTGGCTGTAGGCTGGTCTAGAATGGCATTGGCTAGGAAAATAAGGTTGCCTGCTACTAGGTCTCATATTCTCTAGCACGCTAGTCCAGACTTTTTCACATGGCATAAAAGGAATTTAAAAAGAGTGAGCAGAATTATATACAAGGCCTCTTGAGGCCTCAATTTGAAATGGACACAATATTGCATCAGCTGTATTCCTAGACAGAACAAGTCACAAATCAGCAAATTTTCAAAAGCTGAATGAATAAACTCCACCACTTAGTGGGAGGAATTTTGAAAACATTGCAAGTGATATGAATACCAGAAGAGGAATAATTGTGGATGTTTTTATAATTAACCTATTGTAATATAGAGCTAAGTTTTCCACTGGGCTTTTTTCTCCCAATATATTCCATATTCTAAATATTTGAATTTTCCAAATAAAACCTTTACTAATAGTTAGGGTTTTAGAATTTATTTGCCACTTGTCTAAACCAAACAAAATTAAAATATTCAATCCCATTAAAATATATAATTAATCCTTCCAAATCTGAATATCTGGCCAATAAATAGTATATTTAAAAACAAAACAAAACAAAAAAACTCTTTTTTCATTTCCCTGGCTAATTCTTTTTGATTACTGACCACCAAAATCAATATTGGCACAATTGTAGTATTTTCAGCTCTTTCAAAATGGAGCTAGAAGTAGCAGAAATAGAATTAAGGGGATGCAAGGTCAGCATGTGCTGTGCACTGGTCATACTGCTCTGTCTAGTGTCCTGATTTATACTTGTCACATACTAAGGGCTCAACTCAGCTGTACTGTGATGCCAACTTTATTGTTGTTATTAGCTTTATATGAAGTGATTTGTGTGATGTAGAAAAAAATGAATTGTGGGAATTCAAAATTTGGCATAATTCTGGTATAAAAATCGATGTTTGAAAATCAACACCAATTGGAATTCCAATTGGAATATTGGAAACTAAAATGAAGAATGCAGCAAGAAAGATTTGGTTTCCTCACTTCTAAGTACATTAGATAAAGTACTCTAAATCAAAAGATATCCAGTGTGGGGCACCTGGGTGGCTCAGTGGTTGAGCGTCTGCCTTCAGCTCAGGTCGTGATCCTAGGGTCCTGGGATCGAGTCCCACATCGGGTTCCCCATGGGGAGCCTGCTTCTCCCTCTGCCTATGTCTCTGCCTCTGTCTCTCATGAATAAATAAATAAAATCTTAAAAAAAAGATACCCAATGTGCTTGCAAAGTAATGTGTGTGTCTGTATGTGAGGGGGTATATAAATTAATATATCTTCCTTGTAAAACAGATGTCATTAAGTAGAATATCTCTGAGGTCATTTCTTTCCAGAAGGCTGAATATGGTAATCACCAACTATTTGAGTATTATTCTTCAATGTATTTAATACATTTCAGTGCTCTTATATTAATAGCAGATCTTTTTTTTTGACATTGGCATCTTTATAGTCTGTAGATTTATGTTGACTGGCAGCTGTTTAACACTCTTGGAATTCCAATTTATGAAAATCAGTGTTTAAACAAATCCCAATTGTCCTAAAATTTTCAATCTATACTAGAATAGGAGACATCTGAAAAAAGGTGACAGTTTAATGGTCCAGATTTCATTTTAGAAAACAGTACCCACGAGTTTTCTACTGCTGATGCAAAAGCTTTACTATTGTTAATATTTGTTGTTGTGCATTTATGTAGTTATGGATGATGAAGTTTAAAGACTTCAATGTCTCATGTGCTTTCTGTTGGAACTGGGTATTTCTTATCAGTGTGATGGGTGACTGTGAAGACATGTTTGAGGAAGAAAGCGCAAGGGAGCCAGCTCTTGAATATCTTATTTTTTAGGGTTATCATACATTATGAAATATTGTTAAGCAATCCAGTATTATTTGAGTGGTGATACTAAACACTGACTTGGGGTCAATTGATTATGGGAATAACAAAAACTATTTCATATATGTAGCAGTTTGAATAATATTAAGTGATGATAACTTATTAAGTGCATAGCTTTGTGCAGTTCAGAGTTTACCATAAAATATTCCAAAAATAAAAAAATAGACATTTTTAAGTAGTGGCATGCACTTTGATAGAGCAACATAATTTAAAAGCAGTCACTGGGGGCTTCATCAAACTGCAAATAAATCAGGTTATACTGAAGGAGTTCCATTTAAACTAAAACTTTAGGGGAACCTGGGTCACTCAGTTAAGTGTCTGCCTTTGGCTCAGGTCATGATCCCTGGATGTTGGGATCAAGCCCTGCGTTGGGCTCCCTATTCTGTGGGGAGCCTGCTTCTCCCTCTGCCTGCTGCTCCCCCTGCTTGTGCTCTGTATCTCTCTCCCTCTCTGTCAAATTAATTTAAAAAAATCTTTTTAAAAAATTAAACTAAAAGAAAAATTAAACTAAAACTTTAATGTCAAGATGGAACCAATGATCTGGGGATCAGGAGAGAATACAACTATGCAAAAATCCTTAGATAGGATTTTTGGTAAACCAACTTGGTAAACTTGCAAAACTGGAAAGCCAATGTAGTTGTAGTGAGCAAGTCATAATTGGTATAGCATGTAATCAGAGCATAAGACAGGGGCCAGATCCTGTGTAGACATTATAAAAGAAATAAATTCTATTGTAAGTGAAATAGAAAATTATGGGAATGTTTTAGGAAAGAGAATACCATAAATTTGAATGCAATTTTTGGAAGATCATGCTGTTTGCTTCTGGGTAAATGGATTTGAGGGCAGGAGTCCAGTAAGGGTCAGGGTCTGTGGTGGTTGTCCATGAATGCAGCTTGGAGGCTTAGACATGGTATTGCAATGACAGCAATGAGTAGCAGAGAGCATATATTTAGTAAAAGTGCCTGAAGATTTGCCTGTAGATGAATAGGAAGAATGAAGGAAAATGAGAAATGGAAAACGACTTCAAAGAATTTAAGTAAATTACTGGACAGACGATGATGCAATTGATCATATCAGAGGTAAATTGATGAGGACTTGATATGGCAAAGTTTATCTTCTTGTTAGAATTGTCTAAATGTCACTTAAATAGACAATGTATCCTTTTTAAAAAGATTCTATTTATTTATTCATGAGAGATGTAGAAAGAGAGGTAGAGACATAGGCAGAGGAAGAAGGCTCTCTGCAAGAATCCTGATGCAGGACTCAATCCTGGGACCCTGGGGTCATGACCTGAGCTGATGGCAGACACTCAACCACTGAGCCACCCAGGATCTCTGGTGATGTATCCTTCTGGAGTTCAGATAAGAGGAGCAGGTTGTTACTAATGTGGGTCACATTAGTAGACAGTATTTAAAGGCATGAGACTAGATCCAGAGACAGAGAGTAAAACACCACAGGGACCAGGGCCTGGATCCCATCAGCACTTAAGAGTTTTAGCAGATATACTTTTAGAGACAAAATTATTATTGCTGCAATGTTTTACCTTTTACTAATGCCTGTAACCCTAGTGATTTATGGTATAGTTATTTCACCTAATCCATATGTGTACAATCCAAATTATGAGCTTTTTAATATTTTTATTAGATATTTATTCTTATTTTCAGCTTTTGCCTTTTATGTATATAGTTTTTCATTGCAAAAGAATCTCTTCTTGGCCATGGATGGCATAAGTGGTGGGATTTGTAAGATGGTGTTTGGCACAAAGTTTTATTTCTTTTCATGACAATATTCACTCACTCTACATTTTTTCTCAATAGAAAAAAAAAAGCACAACACACTGAGATATGGTTTCATAATATGATAACATATTCTTTTTCTGGTGGCCCAGTGAGACACAAGTGTTAGATAAGGTGGAGTAACTTTCATATGAAGCATAAAGACAATTATTATTACCAGAATGCATAGGTTTAAAATAGATCTTATTTCAAATTGTTCCACTGTGTATAGTAAATAAGACATTTTTTTCAGGCTCAGAATACTCTCAAAATAAAACAAATTCTTATATGTAAAGAACAACAATAACAACAACTACATGTGGACCCAGCACAACCTCCTCATAAAAATGAAAAAGGAGTGGGGACCTAAACGCACTTTAGTTCATGAATTAACTACTGCACTTGCCTGAAATTATTCTTGTTAATTAGTGTGTGAAGACAACTAGTCAGTGGATTATGTTAGACCTAAAATTGGGAAATGTAGCTCTTTTGTGGACACATAAAGTCATTATTTCCAAACTAAAAAGAATTCCAAATGAAACAGGGCATATTTATATTGAAATGATTTATTTGGAGTTCCCTTTGAAGATCAAGGGACATATAAAATGGCAAAAGAATGGGGAAATATATGTCAAAAATTATCAAAGCCTATGCAATTTCTTTAATATTAGCTTAGTATCTGAATTCAGAAACATTGGGATCCATATTAAGCTCCTTAAGAACCTGTTATTAAAATGGTAGATAACATATTTCAAGTTGATTTAACTGTTTTATAGATCTGTTCCATCCAGAAAGTCTTTCCTTTTCTTGCCTACACAGCTAGTTCTTAGGCTTTCTTTCCGTGTATTCTGACCAAACTCGCTAAATCCAGCCCAATGCAGGCTGTGAGGCAATGTAATTTGGGAGTGGGGATACAATGGCATTTATTGCCCTTGGACAGGCCTTTGCACTATAGTTATGTCACTAATGGCCATGTTTCAGGTCTTCAATTTATTATGGAAAGGCTAGACAGGAGCTCAGGGTGGGGCCTCTTTTTGCCTCAATGTGAACTTCTAACAAATTCTATGAACTCCTCAAATTGTGAAGGACACAAACACAATCCAGTTTATTTGTTTCTCCTAGGATCCTGGCACAAAACTCCAAGGTTGATTTGAAGTCACACAAGGTTAACTTTCAGAATGTTTATTTCTTTTCCTATTTTCTTAAGCACTTGCTATATAGTAAAACTACTTCCTAGGAACAGAATGTTCTCTGCAGCTGAAGAACCGACCTAGCTAAGCAAAATACTCAAATCATCAATTACCATTTTTTAATGTCTCAGAAAACATTCTTTGAGGTAATCCTTCCTCAAATCCTGTTTGAAACTGGATTTATATCCTGGGGAAATGGGCAAACATTTTGAGGAATTAAATGGATGAAAGAAAAATGGAATGTTGTCATGCATAAGGTTGTTATCTTTAAAGGAATGCCTAAGAGAAATACCTCCACAAAATGCTGGTACATCCAGACGAAGGATTTTTAAACCAAGTGATTCCTAACTCATGGCAGGAAAGATGGTGAGGATCTGTGAACAGTATGTTTAAATGAGGAAGGGAGCTGAAACAGCCCAGAGGAAACACACACATGTGCTGTTTGTTCTGATCTATTCCATTTTTCCATTTCTCTTTACCCAAAATTGGCCTGGCCCCTTTCCTCATAAGGACAGTTTAATACTAATTTTGAATCCTATTAAACAATTCAACAGTCATTCAGTGTTTTTAATATTAAGTACAAAATATAATTATGAATTAAATATAAATCCCAGTGTTACAATAACATTATCAATAATAACAGTAATGCAAATATTCACACTCTTTCAAATTGGCATTGATAGGGAAAGGAGTTAACCCAACACTGAATGTAGAGCCCAAAAGGAGTATAACATAGGAGATGTTTCAGGTATACACACCCCTTAGCTGACCTTCAATTTTGGGAGGAAACTTCAAAATTCTCTCTTTGTGTCTTGCTTTCTTCATTGCTTCATTTCTTAATTTCTTCTTTCCTTTATTGTGATAGAATAATTCTAAATTTTGGATATGACCTGATTACTAGATAACTTTATAAGATCACTGCTCATTTATTTGCGAGGGGTTAATGCAAACGTGGTTATGTAGATGAATGTCATTCTCAGGAGGTGCATGCTAAAGGTTTTAGAGATATAGTGTAATGATGTTTGCAATATATTTTCAAATAACTTCAAAAATGTACACTAACACACACCAGATACAGCAAATTAGTCAAATTTTAGCACATTTCAAATCTAGGTGAGGAGTATGTGGGTGCCTGGTATAAGTTTTTATTCTTCTGGATGTTAACTTTTTTTTTTTAAATTGGAGTTAAGGGAATTTTTTTTTTTTTTTTTTTTTTTTTTTTGTCAGTGTGGCTGGGCTGTAGTACCCAGTTTCTAAATCAAACAATAATCTAGGAGTTGCTATGAAGATGTTTTGTAGATGTGATTAATGTCTATAATCAATTTACTTTAAGTAAAGAAAGTTAT